TTACAACTGACATGGTTAACAATAATCAAATACAGATCATGACAATTACTCAGTTAAATAAAAAACAAAAGTACATACTAATGACCAATCATATTTAGATAGGTCATGTAGTCCATGGTAGGCGAAGATTGAAGTCTGTTGTTTTTTGTACACACAGTTTAGGCTGTATGTGATTAATCCAAAGTGCTTCCATCACCTTCAATAACCAACCTTGAATTAGAGTTATGTGAAATAATTGTGAAACAGTGATTAATATTGATTTTGTGACCTGACATTAATAAGTGTTTTGCAATGGATGATGCTGGATTTCTATTCGCATCTCTTTTTCTCACTTGCCGAACATTTCCGATCCCTGTACCTACGATTAAAGGACGAAATTCTGTGGACTCTACTTCAAACTGTATCTACGAGTTCACCTACAGCTGCGGTGACATCTATATAGGTAGAACCAACAGAATGTTTCAATGTCGTCGGAAAGAACATGTTCCAAAATGGCTACTAAATCATATAGAAAATTCCAATGCGAGTAATGTGAATAGAAATCCAGCATCATCCATAGCAAAACACTTATTAATGTCAGGTCACAAAATCAATATTAATCACTGTTTCACAATTATTTCACATAACTCTAATTCAAGGTTGGTTATTGAAGGTGATGGAAGCACTTTGGATTAATCACATACAGCCTAAACTGTGTGTACAAAAAACAACAGACTTCAATCTTCGCCTACCATGGACTACATGACCTATCTAAATATGATTGGTCATTAGTATGTACTTTTGTTTTTTATTTAACTGAGTAATTGTCATGATCTGTATTTGATTATTGTTAACCATGTCAGTTGTAAAGTGGTTGTAAAGAAACTACGAAATGACGTATCATCTCGCGAAATTTGTCTTCTTAATGCCTTATTCAGATTATGATTTGGATGAATATTGACAGATCAATACAAAGCTCAGATTTATTTTCCTGCATGAATATGCAGTTTTCTTCATGCATTTTACCTTGGTTTACTCTGATTGGTCCTTTCAAGGTCAATGAGTCAGTCAGTCGTTCGCCTGAGACACTATACATCAACTTCGTTGATATAGGTCACATAGAACCTGTTTAGACACATTTTAATTTTATTGTCGTTCTTACAAATAACGGCACTACAGACTACTACTACTAATACAGACCACAATATGACCCACTGATTTTTACAGTTGGAAGTTAAACACCATATCTAATAAGTCTTAACTTTTATTTCCATTGAAATAGTACACAATCCGATGGTACTATTTTCAAAATATTACAGTGTTTTCAACGTGTTATAAATTTGTCTGTAATAAAGATTTGTAATACAAAATAAGATTTTCAAGTATTGGTTTGTAGGGATTTGGTTGGTTGGTTACAGGATTTCATCATGAGCTGACATTGGTTAGAGAACCATTGGAAAACCTGCAGGGAGTACTGAACAGCTGTTTCATCCTAGTTTGGGACACTTCGGCGGTACACACCCACCGAATTCGAGTAGATTACCTTGATTAGTGCGATATACTTCCTTGGCACTCCCCCCTCCAAGTACTAGTAATACACCTACCTGCGCATCATCCTCGTTTTAATAAACTAACAATTCGCATGTTGAAGCTTCTCCTAATTGCCATTACTTTCTCTATTCTGGTAACATGAGAACTCACAGTTTGAAGAGTACAAAAACTGGTCGAATTTGAGTTTCACATTATAGCAAATCATTTATCACTCACTAATGAGTATAATTTCAGTTAAGCTTAGAGTCTCCTATTTCAAAATCCTCCAGAATAAGCTCTTATTTCACATCAAGCATATTTTCCATGGAATTAATTACCTTCATTATGTGTATATGTGTATAAGTTATCGAGAGATTAGATTATCAAGTGGATTACAAAAAAAAATAAAAAAGATGAATTAAAAGAGTTAGGGAATAGTGGAAGTAAAATATTAAGTGTCTTCCGTTTACAGAATAATCCACCCAAATGATAATACTCCACAAACGTGATATGTGGTGTTTGGTATCAATATTTACCTTTTATTCATTCCATTGCGTTCCAAGTTGAACATAGGGTTTCAAGTTTGACCTATGCTAGTGAATCAGGAGAGGTGTATGAGTGTTTCGGCAGGGAATCAAAAGCCGGGTTACTTACTTACTTACTGAGTTGGCAAGCATTCTATACCACTGAAGCACCACCACCACAACATATTTACAAGATATGTGTGTAAAACTTCAACACTATCTAGTGGTCCGTAATACCATACGTAATTACCTATTTACTGAATAGATATATAAATAACACGCCGAGTGAAACTGCATTATTTGTTGGATGGAGTTCCGCACACAATTTATTGTTCATTATTCTTCATATCAACTGTCAGTACACAAAAATTTCGAAAATCAGTTGTTGTGTTAACCTGTCAACACTGTGGGATGAATAGTTTGGTTGGTTAGAACGCAGTTGACGAGCTTTAATTTTCTACTTATTTAAACAAACTTGATGCAGTATGGGGATGTGCCTAGAGATGTGGCGCCACATAGAACACGATGAGACATGGCGAATGAAAAAAAGAGGCAGAATAACTGAGAAACAGGATCACAAGCAAGTATACTTATGAACAGGATTTTAAACTGTCCGACTGATTGACTGAGTTACGATATAACGTAAGAAAGCCGAACTGATGGACCTCAGCTACTCTGAATAGATCTTTCATGTACCAGGCTACACTGAACCGTACATACTGTCTGTGCCTGTGCGAGTGTGAGGATTGATGATATAAAAAACCAATGACTGACCAAGTGAGTTTCAACATAGAACTTTGTACGGAAGTTCAGCAGCTCCAGTCGCTACACACCCCACATAACATATAAAGGTCGAGAAAAGGGAAATAGATTCAAAAGAATACATTAACTCAAAGGTGGAGGCAATTCAATTCACTTATGATGAATTGGAAAGTCAGGAAGGGGACCTTCCAATGTTAGATTGCAGCGTAAAAAGAAAAGAAGATGGGAAGTTAAACACTTGTGTGTTTACAGGAAACCCACACATTCAAACAGATATTTGGACTTCCGATCATCCCATCCTATGTCAGTAAAAATAGGATTGGTGAAATGTTTAAGTGACAGAGCACAAAATCTAAGTAGTACCAAGGAAAATCTAAGACAGGAAGTGATACACATAAGAGAAGCCTTGGAACTTAATAATTACCCTGATAAATTAGTCAGGAAATATATAGGGAAATATAAAAATAAAATAAATAATGAAAGCAGTGATAGTGATAATAATCATAATATTAATGACGACATGCATGTCAAATATGCGCAAGACAACACCAACAATAAAGAATCTAAATCATCAGTAGTCATTCCATACAAGAAAGGAACCTTGGAAGCCTTATGCAGAATTCTTAACAAGGCAGGAATAAAAGTGGATGATATCAAAACCCGTAAACGGAATTAGAAACAAGCTTTGTCGGTTAAAGGATCAATCCTGTGGAGCCAACTAAACAAAACAATTTAGTTTATCTAATACTCTGCTTTGATTATCATCAGGTCAAATACATAGGTCAAAGTAGTAGGACAGGGGCAGTCAGACTAGCGGAGCACAAAAACCTAGCAAAATCTAGATTGGTTGACCCAAATAAGATAAGAAATCTGGAGAATAGTTCAGCTATAGCACTTACTACATGCAGTTACACACAACCATACATGATAGGATGGGATAAGATGACAATTTTAAAATCTGATGTCACAGGATTGAGGCTGAGATTGTTAACAGAAGCTTTGTTTATCGAATCAACTGCAAACAAATGTAACAGGAATGATTCAACACCTGTCCCAGATATCTGGAAAATTCTACTACCCAAACGACCACAAATATGAGAGAACAAAGAAAACTATAAAACTCAAGTTTCGAAGTTGTGTGATTATAATTGATGAAATGATTATGAACAATAAATTTTGTTCGAAACCTTGTCATCTAGTAAATAATACTGTTTCTTCACTGTGTGATATATCTAATAAACAAACTAATATGGAATTGCTACCACAGTGCCCAAGTTTTACACATATATTATAGTAGGCGGAAATGTGAGAGACAAAGAAGGATGACATAAAAAAAACATGAGGGTTCAATGACTAAAGATTACAAAGACTGAATCACTGTGAGCCATATCACCGACAGTCTCTAGTCATTGATTCTTAGCATGTCGAAGATCCCAAGTAGACAACAGTCTACACGTTTTTACATGGTTGGCTTAAACTTCATGGATTGATTCCAGCTTGTGATCTGACCACTCTCAACTCTTTTCCAACCTGATCCTATGTCAGCGCTAACATAGTCCATCGAGTAAGGCAGTGGGCTCGGTATGCTCAACGCCTGTCTTAGCCATCTCAATCGATTTTTTTCTTTCACGTTCCCCAGTGGAACATAGGGCTTCAAGCCTGTGGCTTGAAGTTTCTGTAGTAGTGCTTATTTTACAGGATGGGGTTGCTAGCCTCATACCCAAACTTTACTCTTCACCAGCATTATTTCTGGCTTAGCCAGGAAAAGGAGTGGGTCGGCCAGGGATCGAACCCCGGACCATGTGCATGGTCGGCGAGTGTCCTAACCGCTATGCCACCGGCGCACATTTCAATCGATGCAGCTTCATAACCTCGTCGACTGATTCTCCGTTTCCCTATCTAGCACATTCTACGCCTAACCTCAAATATAGCTCACCATAGAATACCTACCACTGAACACGGGTGTACTGCCCCCAGTTAGTTGCACGGGCTGAAAATAGCTAGAGTGGGATTCAAACCCAAGACTCATAGGCTGAAAGTCTACTGCATAAGCCAGTTAGCCAACACATCTCTGGAGCAAAAACCAAAAATGGCACACCATAAAACAGACCTGCGTACAACATGGTGTTCTTCAAAATCCATGTGTAATTTAAAAAAAGAAACTTAAGTAAAAAAAGGGAGATAAACACTCCTCACACAACTTACCTGAGAAATGCATTTTTGATTTATTTGTGCGTGCACACATCTTTGCAGCAGCAGAAGAGGACGAGGAGGAACAAGAAGAAGAATAGGATTGTAAATCATAAGAAATATTAGAATTAGAAGTAGAAGAGGAACAATGAGATAAATCTGAATCTGTTGTTGTTGTTGTTGTCATAGGCGCTGTTGCTGGATGTGTTTTTGAACTATTAATAATATTATTATTATTACTATTATTATTGTTGTTAGATGAAAGAAATAGTAGTAATTCTGGACTAGGTACAGAGTCTATAAAATGATCCGGTTTAAATTGTCTCTGACTCAATGATCCACTGGTGCCAATACTACCAGTTGTAACTATAGCATTAGTATTACTACTACTGTTATTATTAGTATTATTATTATTGTTAGAGAGAATAAATTTCGAGGAACGATTCATCTCATTGTTGGCGCTTGTGTTGTTCAAATTTTGAGTACTACTCGAAATTGTTGAATTATTATAGTATTATTGTTATTGATGACATCATTCAATGTGTTAGACATAAAATGAAATGGACTTAAATTTGAAATGCACATTTCATCATCAAGCAGAGATGAGGAATGTTGTTGGTGTTGCTGTTGTAACTTACAGGAGTTGAGTGGACCTGTAGAATCATGAATACCCGGGAAATGGCTGATTCTCTTCTGTAAGGATAGAGATGAGGCCTGTGGATCATTTATAGTATTAGCAGGAGTAGTAGTACTAGTAGTAGTGTACAAGAGATCACCAGTTTTAAGCTTAGAATCTGGACAAGAAGAAGAAGAAGATATCCCACGATCATGTAATGAAGATAGTAATTGTCGATTAGGTGATGATACTGAGGATAAATTAAAAGAATTATTATTATTATTACTATTATATAATAACTGTGAATGATGATGATGATTGGATCTGTTGTTCGCTTCAGTGATAGCTGTTGTAGTTTGATTACTATTCTCCCACGATGTGATGTCTAAATGCTTGCCAGACGGTAGATTACCGCTCAGTAAATGTGTTAAACGACGTGAATCACAATAGGTAGTTGTTGTTGTTGCTGTTGGAGGATGAGGAGGAAGAGAAGGAGGGGGAGGACCAGGAGCAGGAGCAGGAGGAGGCGGAGAAAGAGCATTTTGTTTCAACAATGGTATATTAGGGGAACGTGATCTCGAATCAATATTTGGTGAGGCAGTCTTTGAATAGAAATATTCATCATACGCTTCAAATACCGGTTTTTTCATACGTTTCGTTGTATTCATTGAAGATCGTTGAACAGCATAACTCGATGGTTCTGAAAATGAACCGGGACTTAGATGGGCATTATTCACGGAACGATTACTAGTATAATTGTCTGATGGTGCTGACAACAATTGACTATTATTAAAACAATTTTGAACAACATCACTACTCCTAACAGATTGTATATTTTCTGATCGAAAAGTGCCTAAATGATCTAGGGATACATTTGATTTCATATTAGGATCAAGTAAATAAGATCCACTACGACTGTTTGTCGTGAAGTCTTGAGATTCAAAATGGATTTGAGGAACATGATTCCTAGAACCAGATCGTAGATTTAAATTGTATGGTTGACTTGTTTCTTCATCCAACATCATTTCTCGACATAATTCACTAACGCGAGATTCACTGATAACACCGCCAACACCAACACCACACCCGCACCACTACTAGTGTCTTGTTCACGATAGATTAAATTCTCTGTTTTAATCTCCCGTTCACTGGACACATTGAAATGCATTGAAGAACTTGGTGCACGTGTTGTATTCATATGTTGATCTGTAATACTCTCAGGTGTTACAGAATGTGTGATATCAGGAATATGTTTCTATTAAGTGAAAGTATAGAACAAAACAAAACAAAAAAAACATAAAACATGAATAATTAGCAATAAAAACAGTATACTTTACAGACAGGAGTATATATATAACACCATTACATTACACTATAATTAACGGCTTTATTTTGGACAGTGGTTATACAATATATATATATATATATATATATATATATATATATATATATATACAGTCTACAGTGGAGTTTATTGCATGATATTTTCTATTCGTCCAGGACCTTTGTATGACACAATGCCGTTCGAACTGAAGTGAAAACTAATCCAATATTATTATTGTTCCCTTGGGTTCCTATTGGAACATAGGGCTTCAACTACACGTCTCCACTTGCTTCTGCCTTCTGCTGTACTTTTCACTTGCATCCATGTTAGTCCATACTGTTTCAGCTCCTCTTCACACGATCTCCTCCATTTCACCCTTGGACGTGACACTCGCCGCTTCCCTTTCAGGTTCCACTCGAGCACTGGCCTGACGCGCGATGTCACCCAGCTGCCTCCTCAGCCAGTGTCCAATCCATCTCCACTTTCTCCTGCATATTTTTTGGGCGATTGGTTCTTGTTTTGTTTGTTCCCATAGTTTCTTGTTGGTGATTCTTTCCGGCCATCTGATCTTCAGTACAGAACGAAGACACTTGTTGTTAAAGGTCTGCAACAGGCTGTTGGAAATATTCTTTGTGACCCGCCAAGTTTCTGATCCGTATAGAAGAACTAACTGACTTGACGTTTGTACTGAAAATTCGAATTTTGTTGTTGATGCTGAGTGACGAAGATTTCCAGATTGGTTTCAGATAAGAGGTTACTTTATTCACTTATCTAGGGAGCATTGTATCAACTACAGGAGGAACGGACGACGATATCAAATCGAGAATCGGGAAGGCGAGAAACACATTCATCAACCTGAAACCAATCCAATATGATATTTCCTTTTTTGTCTCCTTCGAGAAATTCAAAACATTTGGTTGAAAGCCAGTTATAAAAAATTCAGGAGTACGTTTTTATATGTATTGAAAAAGGTTGCCATCCACAATGATTTTTTTTCTCAAGTTTAGTAGAAACTTCCGAATCAGCAGGTTGTAAATAATTTAAAGAGTCTCCAGAGTACATAATACTATTAGAGTTCATATTGTAATAGATAAAAACACACTGAACAAGAAAAATCATATGCAATATAATGATGGAGGTTTTAAGCAGGCTACTGAATTGAATGATAGTGTCCCCACTGGGACTTGAACACTGGTGTTCGAAACGAAGGGTACTGGGTTCGAGTCCGCGTAAGTCCCAAATAGGATGAAATCCGAATCCTGGATTCCACTGCTAGTCACCATCCGTCAAATAAATCACATCACTGTTAATCCGCAGACTTCCGCGAAGCATGCGCGCACCAGGAATCGACACATCAACAGAAGCTGAACATTTCGATTCAGTCAGTCAATACGAAAAACAGAGTAATAATGTGAATGTCTATTACAAAACCGCACAAAAAGTAGTACATAATCTAGAGAGCCTTTTACCCAACAGTTATTCCATATTTAAGCTCAGTTACCCAGGCTACAAGACATGCTTAGTATACGACAGCTGAGGATACTCCACCTATTCACCTGGGCTGAAGTACGTGGGACGGGCCTCGGGTCTAAGACTTATTGGCTAAGAGCTGAATGTTTAAGCCACTTAAACAAATCTCCCCAATGTAGGAACATTAACCAGTGACCCATGAGTGGAATGACATGAAGATTTGATTATTCAGCTATTTATCTTGGTTTAATAAACAGACGCCAGTCAACAGTTTTATCAACAAGTGCCCAGTGTTAAACTACAACTGAAAGATAAATGTAGGTGGTTTTGCTAGCCTCAAAACCTATTTAAGCCCCGTAATACACAGTCTGTTTCGAGCTGCAGTTTGCAAAGTGATGTATGTATGGGTAATTCTACTGCCGACTAAGGTTGTATAGTACAACTTTCGAAGTCACTTTTTTAACACTTCCTCCTTGTTGCGGGAAAACAAAATACTCGGCCTGATGATCGTCCGAAGAAAAAACACTTTACTACTGCTAAACACCCATTCATCCACCAATTGTAAGAATTCGTCTTCAGACCCCAAACATACCGCAAGCAACTGGTTTCAGTTTAACCACCAACAAACCGATCTTACCAAAAGTGGAAGGAGCTGCAGCGACATCCGTTGCAGCTAACATAATTCGTTTGGGTTATCGCTAAAAGTCAGCATACCACACGAGAAAAGTGAACAAATTTCACACTGAATATTAACAATAAACTATATATTTGACAAGCATCGGCATTGTATTGTCCCTGTTTTACAGAGAACTTCATCTCAACAAGAACCAACTTAAGTCTTCATCTTATCTGTTTACAGGTCACCAAAACACAATGATCACGGTTCATTGAATCCACGTCCAAGTGGTTGTATAGTCAACGAGCTTCGTCTCGCAACCGAGTCCTGAGTCTCATCACTGGTGGAGACACAACGGTCGGTCGGTCGGTTTACGACATAGAACTTTGCACATATGTGCAACAGTTCGAGTTGCCACACTCCCTCCATATAGCACACAAAGCAAGAGAAGAAAGCAGGAGAAATGCATATTAGAGACAGTAAACAGAGGTGTGAGACAAAGGAGTAGTAATAACGAAGAACAATATAGTTTCATTGGAAACTATAAGTCACAAAAAGTGGATGCATCTGCGCCAGCCATTGAGAACGATTTTGAGCTATATCATCAATTGTTTCCAACCATTGGTTTTTACCGTCCCGAGGATCCCAACCAGTCAGGAAATCTACATCTTCCTATGTGGTTGGCTTTAACTAACTGTTGTGGATTTCATTGACTGGTGCCGTGTTTTGGTTTGACCACCGCTAGCTCTTTTCCAGCCTGACCCGATATCAGCTAACATTGCCTGTTGTCGAGGAAGGCGATGGCTAGGCATACGTAACATATGTCCTAACCATCTCAGTCGATGTAATTTCACAGTCTCGTCGATTGATTTCCCCTCCTTACCTAGCACTTGACGCCTAACCTCAATATTGCTCACCTTATTGTACCACTTGACACGGGAGGTAGAACGCAGACACCTATGATCGAACACAGCTAATCTTTTCAAGTCTTCCACTCTCAATGGCCAGGTCTCAGAGCCATAAAGGAGGACGGAGCGGACTGTTGAGCAGTACACACGCCCTTTAGTCGATAGTCGGATGTCACATCTACGCTAGAGATGGTGTAAACTGGCATATGCGAAACTAGCCCTCTGTATTTGTGCTGAGATTTCGTCGGAGGTCAACCCGTTGGGGCTGATGGTACTTCCCAAGTAATTGAAGCGGTCAACGTGTTCTACCACTTCACTTCCTATTTCTAATCTAGGGGTCGGTGAAGTCCAATCCTGCAGCATTATCTTACATTTTACAGGGGCGAATTGTATGCTAAACGGAGACACAACTGTTCATTGATGGAGACTCACAAACTAGGACGAACTAGCTCCATGGTTTTCAATGATCTCTAAGTGATGCTGGTTTGTGATAAGACCGAACAACTGAGACAATGATCTGTGCTGAAAGGTCATTAAAGGGAAACGGTTAATTTTGTATGCAAACTTGATATACGGTGAAGTAATAGGGCGCAAGTTAAAAATATAGACATTTTAAGAAATCCCAACACAAGGTAGACGACGTCACGAACTGACATCACTTAAACAAGCAACAAAAACCATGGATTACTTGGACAGTTGATGATTGTTACGACGCTGCACGTCAAGGAGTTGACAGAAGTTCACACTCATGGCTTATTGGATTCCTAACCCAATGGTGACGGGTGATTGGTGAGCATGCTCTTATTGTCATCTGGAAGTCCTTGGTTCGATCCCAGATGGGTTAATGGGTGTACACTGCTAAACAGTGCCTTGAACGAGATGGAAAAACTGATTCAGTATACTCCAGAAGTAGCTCAGTAGACAACGTATAGACTGTAGCTATAATTATGTGGAGGCGTAATAAATAATTATTATAGATCGCTAAGTACTGGTTTATGATTACATTATAGGCTTATGTAAACATCTATGTGAAGTGTATCAGTATAATCCGATAGAGCATGAGGAAGTTATTTCATGGTACATTTCATGCACATAATAGCAAGAAAACGATAAACTAGAATGCTGTGTAAATATTAAAATATAAAAAAAACAGCGAAAGCGATAATATGAGTACACACGCACACACACACACAAATATGTACACAGAACTCACCGATAAGTCTGGTATTGATCCAGAGAATTCCAGTGCCATTGAAACAGATGAAGGGATTGGTGTTTTCACTCCAGCAGTGTGTACAGATGCACCGGCTTCACTTAACTGATCAGTTGTATTCGAGAAAAATGGATCATTATTATCACTGCCTGCATCCCCATCAGAGAGATAGGAGAATTTCCCTTCTTTACGATTAATTAACTAAAGCGCGGGAGATTGAAAAGGTGTTGTCGGTTTTTTTTGTGTATTTGGGAGAAGTGAAAGCATAGGAAAATAACAAGAGAGGAGAATTATGTGTTAGTAAAATAATAATAATAATAATAAGGGCGGATTTTAAAACATTACTTATAATACGTTAGTTGGAATCCAGTTACTCGGAACAGATTTTCTATGTACAGAGAGATATGAGCTACACTTGTTGTTGTGTAACAGGCAACGATACCACTTCCCCTTATCAGGGTAGACCGAATTGAGTGAAAAACAGTTCGAATCCGGTATTTATTTGGCAACGAACCAATCAATCAACTAAAAGCAGATATTATCATCTATTCGATAAACATTCAGGCAAACTAGGCGAGCCTAGAGAAGATAGGGATGATGAAGAAACCCAACCGACAACAACAACAACAACAAAAACGCCAATTAATATCCATGAGAGTAATGTAAAAGAAGTCGCTCCTTTTTGATCCAGGTGGCATCGTTTCACAACTACAGACGGTATGCATGAGGACATCAAAGGTCGCCGGGATCAGTAAAGCACGACGGGAGTCCATTTTTAACATCAGTGTTTACGCCGTCTCTGGGTTAGACGTGATATCCGACTATCCACCAAAGGGCGGGCGTACTGCTCATCAGTCCGCTCCGTCCTCCTTTATGGCTGTGAGACATGAAAAGATTAGCTGTCTTTGATCATAGGTGCCTGCGTTCTACGTCCCGTGTGAAGTGGCATAATAAGGTGAGCAATATTGAGGTTAGGCATCGAGTTCTAGGTAAGGAGAGGAAATCAATCGACGAGGCTGTGAAGCTACATCGACTGAGATGGTTAGGACATGTGTTACGCATGCATAGCAATATTACCTTATATAGGGTCAGGCTGGAAAAGAGCTAGCGGCGGTCAAACCGAAACATGGCACCAGTCAATGAAATCCAGAACAGTTAGTTTAAGCCAGCCACGTAGGGAGGTGTAGACTTCCTGGTTGGGGTCCTCGGGATGGTAAAAACTAATGGTTGGAAACAATTGGTGATATGACTCAAAATCGTTCTCAATGGTTGGCCGCAGATGCATCCACTCCTTGTGACTTATAATACCCAATTAAACTATATGGTTCTCCGATATTACTGTGCTTTTGGCTCATATCTCTGTTTATTGTCTCTATTTTGCATTTCTTTTTACTTTCTCTTGCTTTGTGTGCTATATGGAGGGAGTGTGGCAACTCGAACTGTTGCACATATGTGCAAAGTGTACTTTTATATATATAGTTCAGACACTTGGCACGAGCATCGCCAAAAGAATTTTCAACAAAAGCATAAGCTTTGTCGATTCGTGATACAGTGCTTCCGTCAACCAGTGCCTTCGATAAGCATCCATATCGCCTGGACATGGTGGATCCCACTGGCCACGACTTCTCACTACAGCTTTAGGACATTCATCCAGTAGTAACCATAAATCAGCTGGCGATTGATATTCAGATCATTATGGGATTCGGATTAATTTCAGTTAGAAAGAGCGATGTATCTCAAAATGACAAAGTTAGAAATCGCAGGTCATCGGATTCCATTTCAAGTGGGTGAATGGTCACAACAAGCTTGATCCCGTAAACTGAAGGTCCCAGATTCGATCTATTTTCGGGGGTAGTGGGTGCACACTACTGAAGAATCCCAAATGCGACAAAACACACCTGGCCTTGGCCAACAAATATGTGCATAAGGAAATAAAGAGATAGATTGGATATACACCCTGGGGAGACACCACTGGGTGACATCGCGCACATCAGGCACTCAAGTGGAAACAGAACAGGAATATAACACAACGAGTTGCGCGTCCGGGAGTAAAATGGAGATTTTGTGGAGAGAGGTGGGCACTAGTGGAGTCACCTGTGAAAATCACAGCAGAAATAGGAATATAGTGCTTTGGAGGCCAATTTGTAATGCAAGGAACGAATATTAATTAACTGTGCATTAAGTAGGTCTTGTTGGTTAGTAGTGGCTGTTGCTTATTATGTGCTTCTTCGAGTTGTAACCTCAAGTTTCATTTTCATAGGCTTTTTTTTTACTGACATGACTTATAAGTTAGCATTGCTTCCCGGAAGACATTATTTAGATGTAAAGTATAATTATATTTCAATTGTTTACACACAATGATAAGTTTTGTTATTGGTAATATTTCGAGCAAAATTACTGCGTGTGTTTACACCACTGTTGGAATTGTTTTATTCACACATTTATGATTTGTACTCATATATATAGTTCATTATTTTTGCTCATTCATGTTTTTGTATTCAGAATTATATTCCAAGTTGTTGATAGTTGTACTGAGTCACCCTTGTTACATGTATCCGGTGTGACTTTAATGAATATCGATTCTGTTATAAGTCTTTCTTTCCATTTGTTCAACTATTAGTTTTTAGAATACACACATTGTTCCAATCGATATTGTGGTTTTTGTCCCTTGCATGTGCAGCTATCGATGAATTTTTTGCAAGATTCTTGTAGGCTTGTGTTCCTGTTGGTTGACCTTTAGTTAGGCGTTTATGTTCATTCACTCTTATTTTGAGTGATCTGGACGTTTGCCCCACATATTTAGTCGGACAGTCAGCACAAGATATTTCGTAAATCAAGTTGTTTTTATCCATCATTTTTATGGGATCTTTCAGTTGATTTATTTTATTTTTGATTAGATATTACCAATAACAAAACTTATCATTGTGTGTAAACTATTGAAATATAATTATACTTTATTTGATCTAATCCACAATGCTCAAACTTTTTACTGATATTATTTAGATGTATTTATCAGTAGTACATACTAAGCTATAAATAAATTTTACTAATGCATTCCATTTACTCTAACCTTACGAAACAAGTACAAAGATTAAGCGTGACAAAAAAGTCAAGCAAACTGCAGGAGCTGAAAATATGAACTTATGTCTTGTGAAAATAAAAAAGGCATCAACAAAGCAAAGTGTCTAAATTCAGGTGTTCAAAAGTTAAAATAATGCGGAGAAACTACACTTTGCATTAAAAAAGTGCTGCAGGTCAAGATATAATACTTCAAAAAAAGCACAAATAAAGGTAATGAAAACAAATACAATAGAACTACAATGGAAGATAATAATGCGGGAAGAAAGAATAACTACGTGAAGAATATAATAAGGGATTTATCGAATCTGGTAGACCATAAGGTGTGCATTCATCAAGGAATTGGTTTTTTTGGCATCCAGTGGTTCTAAACCAAGCCGGTCTACATTTCCCTAGGTGACCAGCTCAAACCAACAGTTGAAGACTTCCAAGTGTTGGTTTGTAGGGATTTGATTGGTTACAGGATTTTCATCATGAGCTGACATTAGTTAGAGAACCATTGGAAAACCTGGGAGTACTGGACAACTGTTTCGTTCTAGTTTGGTACTCTTCAGCAGGTCCTGGGTTCGAATCCCGATGGGTGCGTACTGTGAAGAGTCCCAAACTAGGACGAAACAGCTGTCCAGTACTCCCAGGTTTTCCAATGGTTCTCTAACTAATGTCAGCTCATGATGAAAATCCTGTAATTGAAGACTTTATATAGATTGATGCCATGATGTTTTGATCTAGTCATGTCTAACTCCTTTTCAACCCCCAACCAACCCCCACTACTCACTATATCAGTTGACATCGTTCGACGAGGAAGGAAATGGCTTGGCATAAGTACAATAAGTGTTCTAGCCATCTCGGCTGGCACAGCTTGACAACCTCACCCACTGACTGACTATCCCTTCTTACCTAAAACTACGCTTATCCTCGAAATAATACAGAGGAAAAACGGGGAATGAACAGAAACAGAAGAGAAAAAAACCAGTTCACTTTATGACGTAGGCAATCAACAGGCTAAAGCTAAGGAAAGCAACTCCTTTAGTGTGTGTGTATATGTATGTGTGCAAAAGACCAACCATATTAACTAATTATAATTACATAGTTTAAAAATATTAGAATAAATGTTGAAAAACGAGTAGTATTAAGAATATACACATAGATAGACAGACAGACAAACAAACAGACAGACACAATAACAAGAAATACTAGTTATATTTATAAGAACTAAAGTATGCCAGTACGGGTATAGTCAGTCATGTGATGATTCAAAAATATTTGTAATGCCATGTATAATGGCAAGTCGACACATATATTAACAGACAACACTTGTTGGGCCAATCCAAGTGTAAGACAGCACACGAATGAATATTTTACCATAACTATTCTTTGAAAAAATTGTTGTAATTAAAACACTCTAAACTAGACTAGTTATGTCCATCAGTCCCCCATGAATTTTATTCCCACGTTGTAGTGATAAAGAAGTAAGAGACACAACTGAAAAGCCTCCTGGTGCCTTACTCTATCTAAACAACAGTGACGAAATGCAATGCAGTCTGTGACGCATACACGTTGATTGTTAAAAAGGGAGGTGTACATGATTACAGCATCTCTAGTTTTGAAATAGATGTCATCAACTGAAACAAATTTCAAATATCAGAGAGGTTTTTTATCCCTTACAAGTACTAGCAACCTCGCCTAGATTTCTAGCTTGCGATGCGGAGAACCTAGAAGACTTGGATTTCCAGATGATTTATGTTTGATTTCACACAAAATCGAAGACTTACAAGCGAAAACCGACAAACTGGTCGAAGAAGCAGCAAAGACAGGACTCCAGGTGAACATAGACAAGACGGAGGTTATGAAAATAACCAAACAACAACAACAGCAGCGACATCCAGCACCAATCACCGTCAACAGAAGGGATTTGAAAGAGGTTACTTCATTCACTTATCTAGGGAGCATTGTCTCAACTACAGGAGGAGAAACGGACGAGGATGTCAAATCGAGAATCGAGAAGGCGAGAAACACATTCATCAACCTAAAACCAATCTGGAAATCTTCGTCACTCAGCATCAACAACAAAATTCGGATTTTCAATACAAACGTCAAATCACTTCTTCTTCTTCTATACGGAT